TGTCATCATGATGTCGTCATCTCGTGATTTAATTCTGAATTTGAATATTAATTTTTTTCCATAGTTTTTGTAGGCCTACACGTTTTTCTACTACGCAATATTATCGATCTTAATGAGAGTAGTCCTGAACTACGGATTAGGATCACTATGAGAGCGAAGAAAAGTCATTTTTTTCGTCTTCGTTCGATTACAAATATACCCAAGAGTCCAAATATCAAATGATATTTCATAGTTTTGTTTTCGATATAAACGCAAATCACGTAACATGACTTTTAAGCTGCAGTTTTTCTTAGGTGTTGCATAGGCTGCATAGGTTTTGTGCACGTTTTTCTGAAGTCAAAGACTGGTGCATTCACACATCTGAGTGACTTCATTTTGGGAGCATACATAGTCCATCAACTCGTGGGCCTGTCAAAATAAATTTTTGTCACGGTGACGTCATCACAGGTCACGTGACACGAGATTAAAGTCGTCTAAAAACCTCTGGAGAAGGACTTCGTTTTTTACTTTGCACTTTTATCGATCATCTCAGTAGTTCGCCTGGGATGTTCTGTGAAAATTTCAGACAAATCAGAGGAAACCTTCTATTACAATTATTATAAAGCTGAAAATGAAAAATCAGAAACAGCTCCGTGTTTGTCCACAAACACATCTCGTCATTTGTATGTTTTCAGCTCGCCTTGAGTAAACGTGTCTAGAATGTTTCTCTTTTTGTTTATAACCCGTGACAGAAATTTTGGACTGACCAACCTTTTCTCTCCACTCCTTTCCACGGTATACATCCCCCTGATGACCACCTAGTTTGTCTAATAAGATCTGTTTTAGAAGCAACACATCCGGACTGAAGCCTCTGTGTGTAACAGTGTATTATTGTTACAATACAACAGGCATGACATGGTTTTCTGATATGAGACTGTGCCGGCTGTACTTTGTCACACAAAGAGGGGGCCTAACTGGTTGGTCTAAGATAAGAAACATGGAGATGGTCAGATCGATGTTTGCCAATTGAAGAAGGCTCTTCGGGATTTTAAGACTCTTTAGCCGTCCGAGGTGGGTCCTACTAATGTCAGTGTAGCATTTAAGATTTACAGGTGGGCGTTTTCTAGTCAGGGACTTGCCGAAGACGGGTAAGTTCTGACCTTCAAAAAGTCCTCTGAAATTCTTCAAAGTCGTAACAGCTCCCGATCAGTTCAGTCTCCCACTTTTCCAATTTGTCACAGCCCCGTCCCGGCAGCACAAACATCTCTGCGTTTAATATCATACATAGGCATCCGTCTGCACTGAGTCTGCATACTTCCATGCAGTTCACACCACGTGTGATCTTTCCACATTAGATTTTCTTTTTTTTCTTCAGCTCTTCAACTCGGCGTCCTCACGGACGGTGGTGTCTGTGCCCCCTCCGTCCCCAGCGTTGTCTCTTGAATTCATGTTACTGCTATCAAGTTCACCAAGTAAGGTTGTTCCACAATACCGGCAGCCAGTAATTAAGTCGACTCTCACTGGAACTTCTAACCTTAATAACTTTGGTGCAGACGAGGAGCGCAACTCCAGACATCGACGCCATACAAGCGGAATCTTGTAATAGTTGCTTTTGTATATATATGTATATATTTGGCTTAATTTATTTGGCTTACAGGAACAACGACAATATTTTGGAAACATAACAGAAAAATAGGGCTTGATTACGGAATCAAACTTGAATCGATAAGTCGCAAACTATTCACTTTCCCTATATAGTGACAAAGATAAAAATAAATTTACATGCCACTGGAAGACACTCCATCTAACACAACCGAACGAGTTGCTAAACCAGATATCGCTGCAATAAGAATGAAGCCTGATGTTGAATTAGCGGTCTGGTCATTGGGAAAAAACCAAACGGAAGGCAAAGTGAAAAATAAAACATCGAAATGTGAGAAAATACAGTTGTATCATACGCTTCGCCTATTTCATCAAATGCAAGAACCGAGGCTTATTGTACAGGCGAGCCAGACAAAGAGTCTAGTAAATTACAAAGCAAATCTGCATGTATTTCTACGTTAGGAATCACTATGCATTTTATCTTATTGTTCATCCAATTTCAGATGAAATCAGTCATTTATATTGTTCTATGAGCCGGCCGGTATAGAGGGATTTCACATTAGCGCTGTCTGCGCACATCTGCATCGAAACCGAGGCTCTCTGTGTTGAACTTTTTCGCGCCCG